AACAATTTTCATTAATAGGACATGCTTCAAGATGCTTTTTATTTATGCATATCCTCATATGCATATTTTTTATATTGTGATGATGCATCACACAACTTCTTTTTTAAATCTCATTGCTACGTACTTAGAGTTAATTTTATAATTCTAAATATTCTTTCCGGATACAAGGACAGTGGGCTAATAAATATTTCTGTAACTGTAGTTTTGGGATTGAAATTGTTTAATCATATCTTTGTACATAAAACAATAAAAATTTAACATAAATTTATTGGAAATTACCGCGATATATTAGCATTTGCTGTATAATACTAGCGCTAGAGTATACATGCTTGATACCTTCTAAATTTATTCTTTTTGATACAGATTTGTATGATTATAATCAATGTTGCAAAAATTGCGCTTTGCGTTTTTTGTTTCAAAGATTGAGCCCGTTGCACAGAAATTTACATAAAAACATAAACTTTCCACAAAATTAAGAACATCTTGAATAATTAAATAAACAGTATAAATTCTGTAAAGATATGATAAATTACATCGAATATTTCATTAGTTAAAACACTTTGTGTTTATATTTTAATGTAAATTTCTGTGTCTTATGGATGAACAATTGGAGATTCTTTCCATATTATTTCTCAACGTATTTTACTTACGTCTTATTTTTTGCAGACATATTTGTACAATCCCATTACTAAAATGGGCTCTGTTTGGGTAATTAATATTCTATTTTATTGAAATGATTAAATATAATTAGCTTTTTTAAGCCTATATATGTATATGTATATTTGTATGTTTTTATAATATACTATAATTGTATTATTTATATAATACAGTCTCTATATTGTATGTTTACAAGTTATAAATCTATAGAATATAATTATATATTTACAAGGATGTTAAACGATAAGATATTAAAAACATTTGATATTTCATATAAGAAAAAAAATTAGTTTGAATTGTTAGGGGTTGCATCATCTAATAGTTAACAGGCAATTTGTATATCTACATCAAAAATGACAAAATTATTGTAAATTTAATATTATATATTTTTGTTTTTATACATAAAAATCCTTTATCTCAATATTCCGTAATTAGATACACATTTCGGATTAATTTCATAGGATTTATTTTCTTCCTATCGTCGCTGGATGTTCAGTTCATATATGTTCATATTCAGTTCATATGACTTTATATCTCTAGAACGTCCTCATATCAGAAATATGCTAAATTCATATCTTCCATTGAACTATTATTAAAATATTTTCTATATAACTTTTATTTTTATAAATAATTAAACGTTAAAATTCTCTATTATTAATCATATGTATATGTATGTATATATGTATGTATGTATGTATGTATGTATGTATGTATGTAAGTAGTGTGTGTGTGTGTGTGTGTGTGTGTGTGTGTGTGTGTGTGTGTGTGTGTGTATACACATAAAAGTGGAATATTAAAGAAAGATCTTTAAAATAAGGTAAAACAAGTAATGGAAATTATAACAATTCATCACTTTTCGAATAATGACAACAGTAACGAATTATTTTTTTTAAGAAGTCATTTTTCAATAACTTTTACCATTTTATAATGCAATAGTTAATAAGATATTAATTTATCAAAACCCGCAAATGAGTGTGAAGAGAATGCCAGTTTATTCGCCGTTGCGCGAATTCACGATTGTTAGAGATACATCGAGATCATAACAAACATAAACTAAGAGTATCATTGTATCCAATAATTTCTTACTCATCAATATAAATGTATTACACATATTATATGTAACAGTTACATTGCTGAAGCGAGAAATTGTAACATTAAGATGAAATCATTGTTACTTTATTTTTACTGAGCTATCCCAGTAAATACAAAACAAGAGTGTCACATTAATGTTACAATTTCTTACTCAGAAATATACTCAGAAACTGTTACGTATACATGTTATATTGTATAATACATGTTACATTCATATTGCTTCGTAAGAGATTAATATAATATTGATGTAATTTTAGTTTCTGTCTACCAAAGAAATTAACTAAACATTACATATAATATTTACATTCCGTCATATTACAATATAACGGAAATGTAATATAACTTGTAATATAACTATGTTTGTTGGAATATAACATATCCTTGTGAAGATTTAGATTCAAATTAGATATATTGAGTCATTGTATTTATTATAATATAATGAAAATATGTCATTATATATGTCATTATGCACTGCAAACAAATAATGACTTAAGCAAGTCAGAGAAAAAGTAATAAGTTCTTTTAATATTTAAAAAATATAAATTTATTTATTCAATTTATTGTACACTTTATTGATTTTCTAATAAAATTGTATTATGATGTAAATATTTTAATACTTTATGTTTATTTAATTACTCTATGAAATAATTTATATTTTTATATAAATTTTATAAAGAAATACATATTGATTTAAATATATCTAACATTACTTATGTATTTTATATATTATATGTTTTCTTTTCTAATATTTATTTATATTTCTTTCTAAATAATTACTTTAAGTATTCAACAGATACGTCATTTTATATTATAATGCAAAGTGTCTTCAGAAAAATCATAGTGATTTTATGTGAATAAAAACATTTTAAATTCTTATACTGGTTAAGATATTTGGAGATATGCATTAGATGTATTCTTTTTAGCCATGGAGAGAAAAATGAACTGTGCAAAAGGTTCAGGGCTGCGTTTGAGGGAGCGCGCTATCATATCATTAGCACTATCACATCATTCTGTCCTTAATTTTTATCTAAGGAACAATAATGAACGGAAATAAGGAATAAAAAATTAAATATAAAAATTAGGAACAGAAAATTATTTTTGATCAATGTAAAAACATCTTACTACTTCTTGATTGTGAGTATTAAGACATGGTTTTTCATACATTAAAATTTAATTCTCTATTTCTAATTCTGTATGTTCAATATTCTTTATTTCTTTTCTTATTCCTTTTATTTATGTCTAGACCCTAATACTATGCATGATCGCGGTTGTTAGATACGTTAAGTTGTTTGAAATATGATCTATAAATGATAGAATATCCATTAATACCTCCAGACATTTCATTGCGCTTTATAGTAATCGTAAATGAATAACGTGAATACTCATTCGCGAATTTTTATAAATTAAAATCTTACTAAATATCTTACTGAAAATTGCAAAATAAGATTTTTTTTATTCAATATAAACTGCTCTACTTATCCACGAAAAATTAATTATGGGACAATTTACAACATAAAACATAATAGTTGTACGTGTGCAAATAAAATACGTGTACAATAAAAGTAACGATTATGTTTGTTACCATTACCCAAGAAATATAATTGCATTATCGTAACTAACAATATATAATATAATATATCAATATATCAATATATTATTGAAAAAAGTTACTACAATGATAAGCAATACACACATTTATCATGCTATATAATCATGCTCTACAATACATCTGTAACAATGATATATAATCAGAACTTCAACAATAGCATCATTTTAGACATTATTCGAAATATTATTATTGCAGATTTTAAGTCTCACAAATAATGTGAAAATTATCATAAAAATTTTCATTATATATTATCATCAATTATTATTATAGAACATATGTGCATATAATTAATAATAGAGAATTTAATTATTTGTAAATAAAAATTATTTAGCTAAAAGATTTTAATAACGGTTTGACAAAAAATTTTCAGCAGATTTCTAACATAGGGATCCCTGAGATACAAGATCATACACGTGATTAATGACTTGACCGCCTTCGAGCCTTTGAATAGTAGTGGGGCATTAATATAGGCATTACCTCAAAACTCGATCCGAAATATGTATTTAATTTCGAGCACTGCTTTGTATTATATTGAGTTATTTCAAGACTTATATTACAAGTGTATTTCAACCAGAGGATATAAATACGTAATTATTGGACTTTCAATTATTGCAATTTAAAGAGAGTAAAGTGTGTTTTGCATGCTACTTTATGATTTATTTTATATATCTTTAAAAAATTTTTGTGTTCATCGAATTATTTCAATAGAGAAGAATTTTGAATAGATACGGCGACACATTCTTTTTCATTTGTATAAAAATTTTGAATTAATTTCTCTTGGTTAATATGATTGGATTATTTCTATCAAATCATTGCAACAGTAATTATTCATATTATATGTATATGAATAATACATTTTTGAGAAGTGTTAAGAGAAAAAGAAAAGAGATGCAATTACTAAAAAGAAATAAAAAAAAAACAAATAGGAAAGATTTCTTGTGAGATAATATTAATACGTTTAAAAAAAATATTGGATTTGCATTTCCTATCAAGATCACTTTAATGTCACATTCTTTTATATTTTGCATGAAATTTTATATATGAAAACTATTGTATTATCCATTGGTTGTAATATCTATAAAAATAAATTGTGTAATTAAATCCCGTTTTACTTATATGGACTTAATCTAAATGTATAGTACTTAAGTTCTATAATTGTGATGGTCTAATATCATTATACTACATATATTTATTTGCGAAGAGTGTTATTATGATTATGGATGTGTATGTTTATCAGTCGATTATATTTCATGTTGTACAAACAGAAAACGGAAACTCTCGAAGTGTTTCGAAAAAAGGAGCACATAGATATCAGAATATATTATATAAAATGATTAAATATCTTTTGTTATTACAGATAAATATATGGTACTTGTAATGCCAGAGTGATAGTGACTAAAACTTTAAAACTTTTTATTTTGGAAGTTTAATATTATTACTAAATTACCATGAATTAAATTGTAAAAACGATAAAAACAATTTATGTATAATATTTTTAACTATCCTTTGGCACACATGCGCGCGCATATGTATACGCACATCCTGCACACGTATAGGCGCGTACACGCTGTGTGCATATTGATAATTAGTTGAAATAAGGTACCTAATTTCGAGCAAATAAAACATCTAATTCAAAAAATCAAGAAATACATTAACAAATGTTAATATAACTTTTATTTTTAAACCTTACATATTAAAATAAAACATGACAATTAATGATAATGGCATATAATATAAATTTGTTATATGTTTTTTTTTCTCATCTAGTCAATGCTCTCACAGCACAAACAAAACACACAATGAACATAGTACACTAATTTATACGTTCTACGCTGCTTTTATCTGCTTGTACTGTGTTACTTGGTGACTATATCAGGATAATAGTAAGTAAAGAGAAAAGTGTTCAGAGAAACAGTTAAGATAATTCAAAGAAGCAGTTAGTTCAATTCAAAAATTTGCAATATCATATATAAGTATGACGATAGAAAAAAAAATATGTTTGTACAATTGGCACACTTTGCTTGTCAGTAAGGAGTATTTAAAAATGTATAAAAAAGTTTTTAACTATTCATAAGTGTAAATACACTTATTTAAATTATTCAACTTGTAATATACTCCTTATAAACAAAGTTCTTTGGCCAGAGTAATAAGTTTTTGGATAAGGCTTTCAATATAGATTCTACATTACTTTTACTAAAAAAAAAAGAAAAAAAAAGAAAAAAAAAGTAAAAAACTAATTTTATTTTTATTTTACTTTTCTTTCTCTCTTTCTTCCTCTCTCTTTCTTTCTCGCTGACACAGATAAATATACACATTTGTATACTGTTATTTCAGATTATCCATCAACTTCTCTAGTGCTATATTTCTACTGTTGCGCGAATAGTCTTAAAGTCACTTTAAAAAGTTGTCATTCACCAGCTTATATATATATACATTCATTTAAATATCTTACTTTACAGGTTAACAACAGGCCACTAAGTTATGAGGCCCTCAAGTTGTTGATACAATTTGTTTCTTATAGAACACTTATTTTACTGTAGAATAATTTTGTTGAGAATTTTGATTTGAAGATACCCACGTGTTAAATACATCTCTGAAATACAAAATAAACAGAAGTTAGAACATAAATACAAGAAAAAATTTCATAAATTAAAAATTGTAATATACATTGTAAACAAACTGATCAATTGATCAAATAGACAGGAATATGTAATATCATACAATAAATTTTAATTGTTTATTTTGTATATAAAATACATAAATTAAAATAGAAAAACTTAATAAAATGCTTTTGCAAACCTGCAGTGACTGACTACACATTCGTTGCTGCAGTATTCATCTTCCCATTCATTATTAGATATAGCGGGATTGGGACATCCCTGATGTATACAAGGTGATGGTCTTTGTCCTGTCATAGTTACTTGTGAAGGATTTACTGGTGATGAAGAATTAGATAAAGTTTCAGACTTTATCGATAAATCATCAGATTTTATGAATTCTGCTCTAGATGGACTCATATGTATTATTTGTTGTTGTTGTTGTTGCTGTTGTACTTGCACTTGCTGTACTTGCTGTTGTTGAGGTACCTATAAGTAACATTACAAAATATTATATAATATAGAAATATATACAAAGTGAGTATCTAATTCGATTATCTTTAATGGCTCATACATTCAAATAAAAATCGTATATCAAGAGAAACGTACAGTATGATAATTAATTTTTGTTATTTTCCTTTCTTATTAAGATATAAAGATTTTGAGTTTTAAAAATGATACGTGTAACATTTAATTTTACTAAAATATTTAAAAAATATTGAACCCTAAAATAAAAAACTATTAAGATATTTTCAGCTTAAGTTATTTAGCTTATTATGTTTATATTAAATAATAAATGAGAAAGGAGGAATTAACCTGCATATATTGTTGTTGTGAAATCTGTTGTTGCATATGTTGCTGCTGTTGTTGTGTCATGTGCGGTGGTGCCATTACATTACCCATTAAACCCTATAAAAAATAAAAATGTTTGTACTCCTTGCCAAGATTTATTCATATTTTCTTCATTCATTATCAAAATGTAAATTATTTAAATTTTATCAATATTAATAAAATCAATGTTTTTATATATTTTATACAATTATCAATCAATTTGCATTGAAATTTTAATTACAATATTTATATATTTATCTTCTTTTCGAATGCTTTTATTTATTAATAACTTTTTAATAAACAATTAACAATTAAAATCTTTTTAATCATACTTATAATGATCTTGATAACACATGTCAAACTCAAGGTTATTAAAGGGACCTTATTTTATTTTCATGTTTATTAAAACAATTAAAAATTTGAAAAATTTTATATAGTAATATTTTACTGTTTTTAATGCATGTGATAAGATTTATTTATCAAATCAAATAATAGAAATAATTAGAAATAGAATTAATGATGTTTATCTAAATGTTGATACTTGTGCTATAAGAAGACAATTAAATAATCAAATTATAAAATATATATTTAAGAAAATATATGTATTATCTTTAACATATCATATCTGATATTTTTTTCAAAAATTCTATCGTATTTATTAAATCATACTTGTTGTTGAGGATTTCCTTGCATGGATAAATGATGAGGTGATTTTTTATTAACAGCCATTTGTTGCTGCTGCTGTTGTTGTTGTTGTTGCTGCTGTTGATGTTGTTGTTGAGGCGACGAAGGTTGATGTTGAGGGCTATAGACCTGATATGTTACATTTCCTGGCGTATTATTATTGGCATAGCCTGTAAATCCGCTATATTGCATTTGTTGTGACTGTTGTGCTTGCTGTTTTTGTTCGCTTTCACCTGCGCCTTTGCTAACTAAAGACGCTCTGTATGCTGCGAGAGCTTTCAAATATTCCTTCTTCGCTGCCTCGGTTTTCTTTTTGTAATACTATATAAAGAATTATTTTTGAACTTAGCAATGATAATATTTAAATTAACCGAAAATATAGTTCTATCAATAGCATTTGTTACAAATATAAAACAATGCTCGATATATATAATCATTTCAGAATAATTTATAATAAATAGTATAAATAGTATAAATATGTAGAAATATCAAAATTATTAAGATTTAAAATTCTTACATTCTTATGTTCAATGTCTAACGCATCCCACATTGACGCAACGATTTTCGATACTTCGCCAAAGCTAGCATTTGGATGCTTTCCCTTAATCACTGCTTGAGTGTCTCTGAAGAAAAGCGCGTATGCTGACACTGGTCTGAAAATTAATTACCAACTTTAGAGTAGAAATAATAATAAAAGATTAAAATTTTTAGCTGGTGAATTTTTAGCTATTGACGTTTTCATTAGTATTGCAATTATTATGATTAAAGATATTTTATGTATTAAAAAGTAGATTAAATATATTATAAAAAGATGTTTTAAAATATATTTAAAAAAGATAATAAAACCCCCTTTTATCTTGATAATCTGACGTAAAATTTTTGGAAAGATAACAGATTTTATTTCGTTATCTGTATAATGTCGCACTCAATTACTTTTTTATTCAATGAACTTTTGTGGTTTTACTATTTTTGATAAGGACATCAATATATTTGTATTTTAGCAAACTATACAGTTAAACATAATGTTCTTCCTTTCTCCCTTCTCGTTCACTCATCACTTTACATTTTCCTTTCTTTTCATTCTCTTTTTTTCCTTTCTTTCTTTCCCATTCTCTATTCTACTTTATTAAAAACGATTATTCTTATCTTTATGTTTCTTAATTGACTTATTCCAACATGTCTATATTTACTTAATCCTATATTTCCACAATGATGACGATTATTAATTTACAACAGTAATAATTTATATCGTTAATATGAAATTATTACAGAATTGAATATAGATTATTGATATAATATAATTTTAGCTTTGGCTTTGTAAACTTGTATACACTTACATTTGTTGCATATGAGTAAAAATATTAATTAAAATGTATTTTGTTGCTTATGCAGTCTCAAAAAATAAAATTTTTTAACAATATCATATTTTAGACGAGAATATAAAAGAAATATTGAAAAACAGTATTATTTTTTGCAAATATTTTAATACCAATCTTTTCGAAAAGAGATTTTACAATGAATATTTCAAACTATTAACTATTTCTTTACTATTTTATACACATCAAAATAGAGTAATTACTTACTTTTGTGGCTCATTAGGGTCTCTCTTCTTCTTTTTCTTCTGCGACTTCGTTTTCCTTTGATTTTTCGTTCCAACGTCAGCTGCTTCTGGCGATGGTGGTTCACGCTTGACCATAGCAATCTAAAACAGGAAACATATTTAGGAGAGAGAGCCAAAACCTTTTTTAAAACTCTTCCAAATACTTTGAAAAAATTATCAGTTTCTTATGTTACAATATTTATGTGTCACATACGTGCGTATGTGAGTAACTCTGTATGTATAATATATATGTATAAATGTTTAATACACAGACTAAACAAATTTCAATTGACTTTAATCAATTTTATATCCAATCTCAATTTGTACGTTATAAATATTTGCTTTAGCTTTCATATGTTATTCATGAATCATATATTATTCGACATATTATTAACATAAAAAATAACATAAAAAAAAATCTGTTTAAAGAATTACTCGAGCAAAAACACTGTGTAAATATCACGATTTGATTCACCATTCCAGAATGTGGGGTGCTATCATCACTGTCTTCGCTGGTCGTGGTATTGTTATTCGTCTCCGGGATATTATTGGCTTGTATAGTAGTCGGGCTACCTCCAGTAGGACTTCTGTATTGCATTTGTTGCTGTTGTTGCTGTTGCAATTGCTGCTGTTGCTGAGAATGCATATATTGCATATGCTGCATTTGAACCTGTTGCTGCTGTTGTTGCTGTTGCATCATCAACAATTGTTGGCCGTTGTGTTGTTGTTGTTGTTGTTGTTGGCGCGGGGAATTCATTGTCGCATACGAGTTTTGAGAGTTGCCATATGCCGAGCTGTAAATGAACGAAACAGAAATTTTGTTTATAAAAAGCAAATTTAAAAATATATATATATAAAATAGTCTTTTTTGAAATTAGATAATTGTATATTCAAAGAAAGAACATATTTAACATATTCTAAATGATTCAAAATTGTCATTTGAAATATCTAATGATATGAATATTGTTTATTCTATTTCTATCTGAGTTGTTGAATCTTCCACTGTTGACTCTTTTTCATTGTAAATTGCAAAATCCTATCCCGTTGGATATAGGAAATGCTATCCCGTTGGATATAGGATATTAGAATTCTTGAACATCAAGAATAGAAAAAGTGTTGAAAAATTTAATTTAATTATTAAATATTAAGAAAATTTTTACAAACGTTTTTTTTTTAATCTCATCTTGAGACAGTAATTTTGCAGATCATGAAACAAATTTTTTGCAAGCACTTTTATAATTATTTTATATTTTTACATTTTTTAAACAAATTAACTTTTTGAATAATTTTTATTCTATATGTTATGTAATATCAAAATAAAGAAAGTATAAAATTTAAAATCAATTCATACAGTTTCCTAAAAAAAAATCGTAAAAAGTAACTTTTTTTCGTATGTCAAACAAGAAAGATTATTAAAGATTATTTAAGTAAATTCTGGTTAAATAGTAAAATTCTGCTAATATCGATATATTATTATATCTTAAATTCAATTTGTCAATTTGATTAAATAGTAATTCAATTAAATTTTAATTCAATTTGATTTCATTTAAATTCAATTTGGTTAAATAGTAAAATTCTGTCATATCGATATATTATTATATCTTAGATTCAATTTGCTCGTATCAGATTCTATTATTAATATCATGAAGACATTTTATTATACACATATAATATTACACATATAATAAATATATATATATATATATATATATATATATATAGAGAGAGAGAGAGAGAGAGACAAAGAGAAAGAGAGAGAGAACTAACCATTTTAAAATTTTTTAATTAAAATCTATTAATATTTAATCTTTTAAAAAAAGATTGGATAATCCTCAGAAAAGAAATGATAATTTGATTTTAATAAATTATATATTTATCAAAAAGTTGCCAAGAAAAAGTTAGCAAAACGAGAACTAAATCTCTCCAAAAAACAACGACTTAATTAAAAAAAAAAAAAAAAAAAAAAATTACTTGGAAAGAAAACTTGTTGAAAAATAAAAATTTTGTGTTTTTTTTTTTCTTTTTCATATCATTGTTGCTCTCGTATAGTGTGTGAGTATAATCTTATAGTATTTACTAATTATATGTAATATTTATATGTAACCATTACTTGACATATTCAATTATAAATGCCTGCATAATATCGTTACATATCTCATTCTCATTCTCTACTCGTTACAAATACTATCTATCAATTTAGAAGATTGCGTCAACTACACCATACAATTTATCCTGCATAATAGCTATATAAGAACGTGATTATCGGTGTTTCATGCGTCTTATGCATAAGATAATGCGCAGATAACTCGTCGACGATATATACTACTTCGTTTCACAGTGTACTAATTTGCTTCAGTAGCATGCATTTAGATCGGCAGATCAAATATACTTTTACTTAATGTATTTTCCTTTCTCTAATCGGACTGACTGCAGTACATAATTTGAATAGTAAATTTTATTCGGTGCTTGAAGGTACCCCTCCCTCTCGACGCGAAGGACGACAAAGAGCTGAGAAAGTTATCCGTTCGATCGTTATCTTTCATCTCGAAAAAACAGCGTTTATTCGCTAAAAAGTTTCGACGTTCGAAAAATTGCAGTTTCTTTCAGGCCGCGTAAGTGGCAAGTTCTCACGCGTGTTACTCGGTAGGCTTTAATAGACTGCAAATCATAGCTTCAGTTACGTCCTGTATGGATGTGCGAGCACGTAGGCATGCCGGCACGTAAGCACGCAGGTATGCAAACGTACACACACGCATACGTGTACATATATGTCTATTTATTTATACATGAATTACGATTCTTCTTTTACTTCGTGGAACGAAGAAAGGATAAGGCTTCGTTTTGTGAGAAGATATAATCTTAACGGTAGAGAGAGAGAGAGAGAGAGAGAGAGAGAGAGAGAGAGAGAGAGAGAGAGAGAGAGAGAGAGAGTAG